ACTATAAAGTTACTGTTTTGTCTTTGTGTTTAAGCAACCACTTGTGAGTGGGTACTTAGAGACTGTAAACAGCATCTTGTTCACCAGTTTACACCGTTAGTTTTAGCATCCACTGATGATTTTGCCTGGGCCAGTCAATACTGTGATGGATGCAACATGGTGATTTTCTAATTCCACCATTTCTTCAATATTTATTAGTTGGTTTTCTCCATAGGAAGAGCATTCCTTTCTCTCCTGTTAATTTATTTAGTTGTTTATCTAAACAGTATGCACTAATTGATTCTTATTTTATTTCAGAAATATCTCATTCCTGTCAGTATTTATTTTGATGTTCAGGTTGTCCCACATTTGCCCTGTGTCCCTTTGACATGTCTTCATCATCCTTTGAGTACTTCCTTGCCTTCTAGTACAAAAAGATGCCCTAGAACCAGCCATTTCTCCAAGGAACCCTGGAGAATGTTCAACGTTAACACTAAAATGTTAGTGGGGGATTGAATTTAGAAACCAGGATCTAGGCAGTAGGTGTGCTCATTGCCCCGGGTGTGCATCTAGGCCCTTTTAGTGGACAGAGCTAAGATACACACATCCACACGCGCACGCGCACACACATCATGAGTTAATACTGATAACTGCAATTTCGATTCAACACCACAGGGTTCATTCCAGTCTTCCCTCTTTCCATATTTGTAGCTTCTTTCTCTAAGAGCCAAACACCTGGTTCCCATTATCCACAAATATTTTCACATTTGTTCAGTCCTTCGATGTACTACTCTAAACCCAGGGTGGTGCTAATGATTAACATGCTCAGCTGCTAATTGAAAGTTTGGAGGTTCGAGTCTACCCAGAGGTGCCTTGAAGGAAAGGCCTGGCAGTCTACTTCTGAAAACTCATCCACTGAAAATCCTGTGGAGTACAGTTCTACTCTGACACTCATGGGGTCGCCATGAGTCAATAGACTCAACAGCAACTGTTAACCCCTGCCACTAAGAAAAACAATCTTTTTTAACTAAAATCCAGCATTCGTTAATGTATTCTTTTTGTCTTTAGACCTCGATTATAAAGTCAAAGAATTGTATTTAAAAGTTACGTAGTTTACTTTTTTGTTTTTTTAAAATTCCCTTCTGTGTGGTTTTGTTATACACTTGAATGCAGTTATGTTCATTTGCTGCTAGTTTAATTCCATTTTCTTCCTCATCCTTGTTGACATTATTTTACTTTAAAAAAAAAAAAAGTAAAATACTCACACTACTCCAAAAGTCAAGACTCTGTAAAAAATTCTTCTCAGAGAACTGTGGTTACTCCATCCTATCTACTCCACTTTCATGCATCCCCTGAAGGTAACCAATTTCATTAGCTTCTTTCTGGCTTATCCTTCTTGTGTATATATTTAAAAAAAAATTGGCATATACATGTAGAATTTTCTTCTTTTCCTCCTTCTAACAAAAAAGGTAGCATACTATATATACCCTTTTGGACACTACTCTTTTCGCTTAGCAATATGTCCTGGAGACACTCCGTATTAGTTCATAGGGATCGTTCTCATTACTCGTTTTTTTTTTAGCTGTATAGTACCCACTGTGCGAACGTACCATAATTTACTCAACCAGTTTCCTATGTATGGATAGTCACGTTGCTGCCAATACTTTGCAATTACAAATAATGCTGCAATAAATAACCTTATGCAAAAGTATTTTTGTTTTATTGGGATGTAAAGCATGAATTTTAAGTGAGTTCTTTTCCTTTTTCTCAAGTTAAACATCTATAGAAGTACCACAAGGTATTAACTCCTTTCTTATGTGTGGGGTTCATGGCAATATGCTGGCTGAAAAGCTATATAGGAGTTATATAGTCTGGAAAACTGTAACTACTTTTAGTGGAAGTAGAAATTGTACCATATATTTGTATAACTGCATGGCAAGTGTGGTCTCTAGGAAGTATAGGTAAAGTTGATTAGATTGCAATGTATACTTAAAAGTTGAATAATGTACTCTTGTAAAACACTCTTCAAAATTATTTAACTTCCCATGATATCATCACAGCATGTGCAAAAAAAAATCTTTAGCGTTATCTTTTCCTGTCACATGACTAGTGCAAACAAAAGAAATCCTTTTTGTTTCTATTCTGGTCCTTTATAAAATGGCATTAAGCACCATTCAAAACGTACACATTAAAGGTTCAGTCTGTAAGAAAGAATAAAGTATATGTTGTATTTCAAACAAATTAAATTGGCTAAATTATAAAGCCAAAGTTGATTTTCCCAGCACCTTATGTGCACAGAGAACTTTCTGATTTTAAAAGCACTTGCCTATATATTTGGACGTTTAAGTCTCATAGCCGCCCTAGGCATAGTGAACTAGGCAGGAATGACGTTCTTCTTACTTTACAAAAGAGGAAATAGAGTTTAAGGAAATTGTCTTGGGATGTAGGGTCTGGACTGAGCCCTGAACTAGAATCCAGGAGAATTTACTTCTCTGCAAAGTGGGATGTGCCCTCCTAGGGCTACTGTAATGATCAAATAAGTAATACACGTGAAAATGTTAAAGTTATACAAAGGGAAGACTGTTCTATCATTCAAGTATTGGGGCTTTGGTGTTTGAAAAATTTCCCGTACTTCAGTGCGCATGTGAATAGGACAAGAGACCGAAACAGTCTTCTAGCTGTAGATCCCATAGCAGGGCTACGAGTGGTTACGTGGGGAAATGTTTTCTAGACTAAACGAGTACCTCTAGGAGCAGGTGACAGTGATATATACCCATTGTGGAAGAATTAACAGAACCTAGACCTTGAAACAAGCCTCATTAAAAGGTACTCGATCTAAGTTTTAAACCTTTAAATATCTCTTCTTCAAGTGATCAATGTACGTGCAGGCTACTTTAGTTATCCCGCTATGAGAATCACACAACTTTGATCTAACTTTCTTTGATTTAACACTGCAATTAGGGAGATTTTGTTCAAAGCCAAAGCTCATTGGTTGATGTTTTACACTGATGTGATAATGTTTACACAGATGTGCTTTGAAATCTTGATTATGGTGGATTTGGGGGTCCCACCACAAGACAGACTCCTGTTGTTTGAAAGGTAAAATAATATGACATTTACCTGGTATAACCTTTAAAACAGGCTTAGTAATATACGTTTCTAAAGTGATTTATCTGTTTATTGTTTTTACCCAGTGTTTTTGTTTCATTTCATATCTATCAACAGTAAATCACTTACTTTAAGGACTCTTTTATAACTTGGTTGCACTTAAAGGTCAGTACTTAGAGCTGCAGTGATGAAAAGGTGTAACTTTACCTACTTTAAAGCACCTGCCAATTAATTAGCAAAAAACCCTCCAGAACAAATAAAATAAACCAGTGAAATCCATTTGAGCTTCCAGGTTTATGCTTTTACTGATCAGACCATGAAGCAAGACTGAAAAACTGATCTTTAGAGATTTCCTAAAACTTTTTGCTCAGCGGCAGCATAAATTTGCCAGATGATTTGAAACTCTTCTGCCACTGAAAAATTTTTAACAGGAAGATCTTGGATTTAACTAATGGTAGAATGTCAAAGTTTTAAGGCTGAAATAGACTCCAATGGCGTTTTATTTTACACATTTGCACCTGCATGCTTACATTTTCAGCAGTATTTTTCAAGTTTCAAAACATTAAGAATCAACACCATTTTCCATTTAGTTGTTTTTAGACTTTATAGTTGAATGTGAACAAAAAAATCTAGCCTTAAAGAAAATGCTCTTCGATTGGATAAGGGTCCCAGAGTCTACTCATCATTGGTGACACTATTGCAGATATTCATTTTCTATTTAGCAAAATATAAGAATCTAAACCATCTCTCTTCAACCTATTTGAATTACCCTTCATCCTGAAATTCGTGTTGCTTTATGTTATTATATTATGCTAATTAAAAGACCACGATCTTAGCATACGATGTAAGACTTCCATACAGATATAAAGCAACCTTGATTCCATCATGTGCTAGCTGAGTAAAGATAAACATTAAAGAGAACCTGGGGGGGGGGGGCGGTGTTCCTGACCCAACCTTGATTATGTAAAGAAAATCCCCCATCTAAATGATAAAAGAAAAGAGTAATGCTTATACATTTTATTAGTGTTTTAAAATTAGTGAGTTAAACTGTCAAAGCTAGATTCTCCTTTCATGTGTGTCTGGGCAGGTCTAGGCCTCAGGTAACGCCCTTTTCTCCTCCTGCCTCTCTTACCTTTCTTTGCACCTGTCTGCTGCAGCCCCCAGCGGCTCCGGGGACTCCAACTCCCCCCTCTCCTCTCCTCCTAGCCATCCCCTCCTTCTTCCTCTCCCACTCGCCCCCCTCCCTTCTCTATACTTGCCAAGCGGGGCTCCCTTTAGCGGCGATCTATCACTGCCAAGGAACTCACATCAAAGGCGGGCCACCGCAGCAGCCCAAACAGCCTCACCGTTGCCCCAAAGCCAACCCCAAAGAGGGGCCTTGACTGCGCCTCCCCGAAGTTGCTTGGCCCAAGTGTGGGAATGATTTTTGCGACTGCATGGATAGAGAACTGCCAAGGGCCTCTCTTGGTCACTTCCGAGGAGCGAAAACGTGTTGGGAAGAGGCCGGTTTAAGATTTCAAACAGAACCTCCCCAGCGCGCACGGAAGGACTTGATTAGCATATGTCAAGAGGCGCCGCATATATACTCGGCGTGTATGTACACAGGCTTCCGAGCTGATCCGTTTGCGCAGCAGGAGCCCCGGCCCCGGCCCCGGCCGCTATAGATGTTCCCGCGGAGCCGGCGGCCGGCTCCCACCTACCCACGGACGGAAGATCGCCCCGAGACCGTCAGGGCGTCCCTGCTACCTCACTGCGAAGTCCACCCGGCGGCCTCGCGGGAGTAACCGGCCTTCGACTTCTGGCCCCCGCGTTGCGATCAGTTTTCGTCCGCCGCAGTCGCCCCTCGCCCCGCGGCGCTCCGGTGGAGGGGGGTCTTTGTTTCCCGGCCCCTCCGCCTCCCCGCTGGCGCCGTCATGGCTCCCCTAGGCGAGGTCGGGGGCTTCCTGGGCGGCCTGGAGGGCCTGGGCCAGCAGGTGGGCTCGCACTTCCTGCTGCCCCCCGCGGGGGAGCGGCCGCCCCTGC